ATTTGGATGGCCCAGCCTTCTACCTGTTGAGATTTCAAAGGCACCTTGAACTAACAGACCACAGGGTGGAGTCTGAAAACATCTGCTCCAGGCATTAGGGACCGATTGTTTAGAAAGTCTTCAAAAAATCCCAAGGATTCCTACGAGATTGGACACTGTACTCCCATGCTTCAGTTTGGGTATGGCTGAGAGAATGGATATGTCTGAGGAATGAAAGGCTTTTAAATCTAGAAAGACACGCTTGCAGATGGGATGGCACGCCTTTTTTATGGTATGGCAAAACTAAAGCACACAAATACTTCCAAAACAACCTGATAAGAGACGCTTTGCTAACTATATGGGGGAAAAGTAAAAAACCAGAATCTATAGGAAAATACCAAGATGGGTCTCTCCAATAGAAGCATTTACTTATCCAAATCTTACCAACTTTGAGATAATTGTGACATATAATGAAATTATTTATTTATTTATTTATTTATTTATTGGACTTATATACCGCCCCATAGCACTACAAGCACTCTCCGGGCGGTTTACAATTTTTAATTATACAGGCTACACATTGCGCATGAAGGTGGACATCACACTTGGGAATTTACCTGACAGCCAGATGCTCAACAATAAAAGAAGAGAATTACTGTACAGGATGCTATACAATGAAATAAAGCAGGATCTGGAAAGATGGGAGAACAGACAGCTATCATTTCTAGGAAGGATTGCAACTATAAAAATGAACATACTACCAAAAGTACTCTTCCTCTTTCAAACAATTCCAAATAAGCTTAACCGGATGTTTTTTGAGGAATTGAATAAATTAACCCTAAGATTCATCTGGTCAAAAAAAAAAAGCTAGGATAAAAACCAAATTACTGCAGGAGGCGAAATAAAGGGGAGGGTTGGGCCTACCAGATTGGACACTGTACTCCCAAATTTCAGTTTTGGTATGGCTGAGAGAATGGCTATGTCTGAGGAATGAAAGGCTTTTAAATCTAGAAGGACACGGCTTGCAGATGGGATGGCACGCCTTTTTTTATGGTATGGCAAAACTAAAGCACACAAATACTTCCAAAACAACCTGATAAGAGACGCTTTGCTAACTATATGGGGGAAAAGTAAAAAACCAGAATCTATAGGAAAATACCAAGATGGGTCTCTCCAATAGAAGCATTTACTTATCCAAATCTTACCAACTTTGAGATAATTGTGACATATAATGAAATTATTTATTTATTTATTTATTTATTTATTGGACTTATATACCGCCCCATAGCACTACAAGCACTCTCCGGGCGGTTTACAATTTTTAATTATACAGGCTACACATTGCCCCCCCAGCAAGCTGGGTACTCATTTTACCGACCTCGGAAGGATGGAAGGCTGAGTCAACCTTGAGCCGGCTACCTGGGATTTGAACCCCAGGTCGTGAGCACAGTTTTAGCTGCAGTACAGCGTTTTAACCACTGCGCCACATATAATGAAATAAAAACCAGAAGGAAATCTCAAAACCAAGGAAGAACTAGCAAGCCAAGGACTGATACTGTTATGGTTACTTTTATTGCAAATTCAATCAGTATGTAAAGAAGACTCTAGAACACAAGGTTTCTACAAGAAACAGCCACCATTTGATAAAATATTACTTTCGACAGAAAATAAGCTAATTAAGAATATCTATAAATTCCTTCCATTTCTGTCTAATAGATCCATTTGGCCTTGATCTATAGGTTATTTCTTAGCTGGGGAAATAAGTCTCTGCTTATTTTAGTCTCTCAGGCAAGAATGCAAAATTTCAAAACTTTTTCCCTTCCGCTGGGTGTGATAATGAGAAATTTTGAGCCTTTTTCATGTTTCAGCCTCTCTTTTTTTGGCAAAATTTGCTAAACACCATTTCTGTCTAATAGATCCATTTGGCCTTGATCTATAGGTTATTTCTTAGCTGGGGAAATAAGTCTCTGCTTATTTTAGTCTCTCAGGCAAGAATGCAAAATTTCAAAACTTTTTCCCTTCCGCTGGGTGTGATAATGAGAAATTTTGAGCCTTTTTCATGTTTCAGCCTCTCTTTTTTTGGCAAAATTTGCTAAACATACAAATTGTTTTGTTGAAAAAAATAAATTTTTTGGTCAAATTCTGTTCCTGATTGGAAAAGGTGCTTTCCCTTTTGTGTGGTTACCAGTTTTTTTTTTTAATTCCATGTGATTTAACTTGCCAATATCCAATAATCTTAATTTCTTGTACTTTGTCTTTTTCTCTGGTTCTAAACAGTGGATAGTTTTCAGTGGAGCAATGTATTTAATTATTTTATGTTGTTTGAATTTTTTAAATGCTGTGGCTATACAAATAAACTTGTCTAGTTAGCTTGCTTTTTATTCACAAGGTGTGTATTTTTGCTGCTGGTTGGGAAAATTCTGGTTTTCATACAGTCTCCATACTGTACAGAGAGCTGTTTAGTCATACTAGACACATGGCTGTTTGTAGGATGAACTCCAGAAACAAGGAAATACAGTGGTGCCCCGCATAGTGACGATAATCCATTCTGAAAAATCGTTGCTATACGGATTTGTCGCTATGCGAAACAAGAAAGCCCATAGGAATGCATCAAAACACGTTTAATGCCATTCCTATGGGCAAAAAACTCACCGTTATGTGGCTGCCATTTTCGCTGCCCGGTAAGCGAGGAAAGGGCGCGAAAACACTGCAGGTGGCCATTTTCTTTACCTGGCAGCCATTTTGGAACCGCCAATCAACTGTTGGAAAAACATCGTTATGCGATAATCGGTAAGCGAAACGCTTACCGATCATCGCAAAGCGATGTTTTACCATTTAAAACATCATTATGCAATCATAAAAACGATCACAAAAACTCAATTGCTATGTGGATTTGTCGTTAACCGAAGCGCTCGTTATGCAGGGCACCACTGTAATAATTCCTGTCCCCCTGTTCCTTCGAAATGTTGCATCTTAGATGACTTGCTTTAGTCTGCATCCTAATTAGAGATTATTTGTTTGAAAGAGGGCTCCATGGTGGTATTAGTGTTGATCTTTCTGAGTTAACACTTCAAGGCAGGCTATTTATATATGTGTGTGTCTATAAATGCCAGTTCAGGATTAGTTGCAGTTTGCTTTTGTTGTGAAAGCCACCTATACATCTATCTATAAATGTGTCAGAGTATCGTTACAGCAAGTCATCATTGCTAGTCGATTACACTCCAAACTCATAATCAGGTAAATAAAATCCTGGAAAATGCTGTGTTTCATAGTGCAATGCCATGGTTAGAATATTCCTCCTGGAGTGGAAAGCTCTGTTTTGATTCCCCAAAAGCTATTGCGTGTCCTTGAGTCAGTCGTTGTCTCTTCATAACCCATTCTACTCAGCAGGGTTGTTGAGCTGCTTGGTGAGAATAACCCAGCAGGGTTGTTGAGCTGCTTGGTGAGAAATCTGGGATTTTTAGGTTTTGACTAAAGCCAGCCCTCTTTTGAGCCCTGACACCTAAACCTGAGGGGTCTTCTTAGCTTCCTGTTTCTCTTGCTAAGGCCCTTTCTTGCTACTCCTAAGAATAGCCCCGAGTGTAACAGGAGGAGTGTTGTGAGAGAACCAAAGCTCCCATTAGGTTGTTATGCAAATACTGCAAAGTAGGGAAAGCTAAAATATCTCTGGGATTTACCCTAAATATCCATTGTACAGTATCTTGCATAGAATAGGATCCAAAGCAGCTTTTTGCTGCTTCCTAGAAAATTCAGGACCTGCCTTTTTTTCTTCCCAGTTGCCTTGTTGTCAGGCTGAATTTGAGCTGATGTGTGTTTTCTCAGGAAAGGTGAAAATCTCTCATCTTTCTAAGAGGTAGGGCCAGGCTTCCTTCTGATTTTCTGCCACCTTATCCTGCACCCTCAGTACCAAACTGCCAGGAGGGATTGTTCCCCCCCCCCGGTACTAGGAAGGTGATGTGATACCCATTTCCATAATTTCAAACATGCTGAGATTAGGGTCAATCCAGCAAAATCTGGGGTTGTTTTTTGTTAGTTTTGTTTTGTTTTAATATCTGGGCTTTTAGTCTTGGAACATGTAAAGCGTTAAGCAAGATGCCGGTGCATGTGAAGACACGGAAACTCCTCTTTTTTTTGCCCCGGAGAAGAACCACAAAGAAGCCCACCCATCGGAAAGTGGGGAAATGACTCCCAGGGGTGGCGGAAACCTCGGGATCTCAAGAAAAGCTTGTGTCTCCTGCCTCTTATTTTAGAAAATGACTTTACGATGGAGCGCCACCAGCTATGTGGGAAGCTGAGGGTAACGTCCAAGGTCACAGGAGAACATCAAGAGCCTTTTTGATCTTGTTGCCTTCTCAGTTTGGAGCCCATGTAGAGCCTTGTCTTGGTGAGCCCTTCGTTAATTCTTGAAGCTGATGACATCTGTGGAATACTTTCCTTGTGGTTTACCTCTTGTGATCTAAGTAGTTTTTTGTTTTACTCTCACAGCACCTTTCATACACGCAAGAGCTGTTCCTGCACAGCTTGAAGGAGGCAAATTTGTTCCTCTGAGTCCAGCATGGATTTTTTTTTGGGGGGGGAACATAACATTGTACGTACCCCCAAGGACAATTTTCCTTTAAGAGCCTCCTCAGTCTGCTTTAAAGGGGAGTGGGTGGGTAGGGGAGTCTTTGGCTTGCTACAGCAGCTGTCTTCAGCCTGTCTGGTTGGTACCAACATTTGCCCGGTCCCCTCCCTTTGGCCTTTTTAAGATGGAACCTGATCCCCCTTCCCAGGGCTGATAATACTTATTGAGGACCGGTCACGTGGGCCAGTTTTGACAGGTGCATCGGCAAAGCAGACAGACTGCAGAGCCTGGGCAGGGCTTGGGGCAATCTTGACCTCTGAGGAAGAGCCGAGCGGGGGAGCAAACGGAGGAGAAAGGGGGTCTGAGAGCGTGAAAGCGAGCGGGTGGGTTCGTGTGGCTAGCAGGGAACAGGGGCAGGCACCGAGAAGAGCAGGAGACGAGAGAGAGAGAAGGAAACATGACGACTCAAATCGAGACCCACGTCCAGTACAACCATTCCTACATGGTGACTGAGGACTACATGGCGCAGGAGGAAGACTGGGATCGTGACCTGCTGCTCGATCCGGCGTGGGAGAAGCAACAGCGAAAGGTAAGGGGGTGACTGGGGGGGCGGCGGGTGGAGGGGGCAAGGATGCTGTATCTGCATTGCAGGCCCTGTCGGCTCTTTGGCTGTTGAGGATGATGACCATGCCACCAACTTGGAAACACAGCTGAGTTGAACGTCCTTTGTAAGTTCTTCTTTTCCAGTTGGTCAGTTACACGAATCATGTCATTTCAATCTGTGAATGTGGACTTTTGTGCTAGCTGGAGCTTTATATTGTTATTGTGATTATTTCTTCTTTGCGCTACCAAGGTGGGAAAGCAAGCAAGGGGAAAATGGAGGATGTAAATCATGAATGGGGTGCAAGCAAGCTTAGCCTTACCTCTTTGGAGCTCAGGGGTGGCTCCATGGAGAGGCTCTTGATTTGCAGGAGCCAGAGGAAAACACGGCTACAGGTTCTGGGGGGGTGGGACACATGTCTCCCTTGGGAGTGGCGGGAATGGGGTGCGAGCAGGCTTAGCCTTACCTCTTTGGAGCTCAGGGGTGGTCCCATGGAGAGGCTCTTGATTTGCAGGAGCCAGAAGAAAAGACGGCTACAGGTTCGGGGGGGGGACACATGTCTCCCTTGGGAGTGGCGGGTGGCCCAGCGTCTCCCAGAAATAAGGGAGGCCGCGCAGCAAGGGCTGGCTCCGCTTTTTCAGGGGGACTTCGGTAGCGATGAGACCAATCCTGGCCTTTAGGGGAGATGGTTCCCAAACATTTGGGGAAGATCGTCTCTAAAAGTCAGTAGCATCCACACGAATGCTTTGTTTTGTTTATTTATAACCGTGAGCCATCCCATTTTGCACCCTGTTGAGTCCTAGAAGAAGAAGAAGAAATATATCTTTTCCTTATATACATTGAGCGCTGTAAAGAGTTGATGGGAAGGGAGAACTCGGAGGAGGCAGCTGCCTTCCTTTGGGCATCTGATACTGTTTTTTTGCAGCTGTCCCTTCCCGTCAACCTGTGGCTCTGCATCCTATATGGAACCATAAGTGACATTCTGGGCAAAGGACGTCAGATGAGGCTCTTGCACCAGTCCTGTAAAGGGGGGGGGGGTTGGCGCAAGAGGCGTTGCAGGATACAAAGAAGAGAGAAGGGAAGGGCGTATGTCACTGGAGAAGAATCCACCAAGGGGCCGAAACTGTGTCTCAGCTATGCCGGGAATGAAGGAGACCCAAGAGAGGGAGAGAGAAGCCAGCTAAATATATCTCTGTATGGCAGAAGCAAAGAACATCTCCTCCTGTACCGAACGGTTATTACCTGTGGGGTTGTCCTCATCGTAGATCGTCAGACTGAGCCCGTAATCCCTTTACTCCGCGGGGCGGCCGAACATTGGCCTTCCTGCTAGGGGGTGTGTGTGGCCTTGTTGAGAGGTAGCTGGCAAATATTTCGGCTCTCCTGGTGAAAATTAGAAGGCTTTTTTTTTTTTTTTCCCCAACCCGGGGTTGCTTTACAAGCAGCCGAACGACATTCTGGTGGCTCCAGGGAGAGGCCTTGCCGAGGGTGGCGCTTGAAGGCCCAGTGCGGTTTTGCCTAGCCTCATGCTGACATAACTGATCTGGTCCTGATACAACCAGATAGGCGGGATATAAATAAAATAAATAAATAACAAGTAGGCAAGAAGTTGCGAAGCTCTTCCATGTGCAGGGCCCTCCCCCCATTCTGCGATGTATAAGCTAAATGCAAGCTTTCATTTGCCCAGTTCCTTTGAAAGCCATGCGAGCCGATGTCCCCCCAGCACCTCCTTGATAAGATGCTGGTTGTGGTCCCCAGTACCAGCGCACCGGCCACATTCATGGGTCGCGGGGGGGGGGAAACTAGCCGAGATCCCTCTAGCCGATGGCCTCACTCTTTCCTCCTCCTATCCTTGGTTGCACAGGGGTGCCACCTCACTGGATTCGACGCCCCGTGTCCCTCCTTGTGTTAAAACACCTTTGGGAGGAGGTGCACTGGGCCGCTCCTGAGGCCAAAGCAAGTCCCATTCAGGGAAGGAAGTGCTAGGATTGTTCTCTGGTTCCAGTTCCTGTCTCGTTTCCTCACAGGCTGGATTTGTTGCCACGGATGCCCCTGTGCCCGTCCCGCAGCCTCGGTTTCCTGCTTTTAAAAGGTGGAAGAGACACACCACCGATCCTGGGGTGTCATCGCAAAGAGAATGCTTCTGAGCCCTCCTGGATGTTAAATGCAATATATGCCTTGCTGCTAGTTAGGGAAGGGCGAGGAATTGTTGAATCGATTGATGTCGAGAAACAAAGCCGTGTTCTGAGCTAGGTCGGCCGCCTCCCTCTTTCATCCGTGGCCATTAATTTTAGAAACTCGAAACCGGAAAGAGGCATCCACAGGTCTGCGGAAGGTGAGCTTGGCCAGACGGACAGAACCCTCTCGTTCACCTGTCTCTTTTTGATGCCTGCCTGACCTTTCTGCAAAAGGGGGTCTTCCTCCCTCTCCTTCAGGCTGTTCCCTGTCCAGCGTCCTTTAATTGGTCTGAACAACCCAAACGACCATTGGCTTGTTTTTCCTTCTGACTTAGGGCACAGCTGTGCCGTCTCGGTGGCAGAGGGGTACGCTTGGCATCCAGACTGTGCAGCTTCCTTCTCCCTAGATTTCCTGTGTTGGGCGGGACCCCCCATCTGAAACTCTGGGGTGCAGGGAAGGAAGGAGGTGGCCCCAGCCCCCTGTAACCAGTACTGAATTAGATGCATCCATGGTCTGGTTTGCTGTGTGACATTTCTGTGAGACCAGTGAGTGATTTTACTGGTCTTACTGCCATTTTCCTGCCAATTCCCACGTGTTTTATTGGCGTTCTCTTGCAGAAGGGTTGAGCCCACCGGCTTTTCCCTACTGGGTAGTGACCGTTCCCGCAGGCCATGAGAAGAGTTTTCCAGGTCACCAGCGGGTTTATGGACCCTCTTGTCCTGACCCTCGCTGGTGAACCTCGGCGTCCCTCTGCTCTGATTCGGCCAGACAGGTGCTGTACCTCAGCCCTGGGGCACAGCAGGTCCGTTTCATGCCCAGGACCTGCTTGGGGAGGCCTGTAATCTATCCACGGGGAAACACTAGCTGAGCATTCCCTTGTCTCAAACATGAGCCTTCCTCAGTGATGATTCATAGTGACCTGTCCCAAAAGACTACACCGCCAGAACCGGGCACCGTTCCTGCTGATCTCATTGCTGAAAGCGTATTTCCCACCTGTTCCTCTGGGCAGAAAGGGAAGGAGGCAGGGCCGCAGACAACCCCCCTCCCCCCGTGATTCACCACAGTTCAGGGAGCCAGAATTGGGGTGGAAAGGCTTCGTGGCAACTTGACATTGAGGCTTGAAGTGGGGGGGGCAGAACCTCAGAAAAGTCTGAGCATCACCTTACATTAGGGCGTGCACAGCGTCGTCTCTGCAGGTGGCCCCCAGGGGTATTTAGGTGGCCCTAGGACGTTTGTTCCCAAAACAATAGGCTAAAAGTTTCTACTTCTAGAAACCTCTAGGAACAATGATTTCGCAATAAAATGGAGTACAGCCCCCAAACTGTCCTGAAAAAGCCCACAAAAATGAAATTGAACATCTACTACCAGCAATATTCAATTATGAATTTATTTGGTTTTTTTAAGCAATTTCTCATTTGGACGCCTAGTGTACACAGGCGATTAACCTTTGGCCCTCCCAGTGTTTTGGACAACAACTCCCAGAATCCCCTGCTTATATTGCCAGGGATAAGGGAACTTGGTCGTCCAGAAGGAACAGGCGAGAGGTTTGGATCTGTATTTTCTGGCATTCCAGACAATTCACGTGGATTTCCTGCAGCCCGCTCTCTTTCCTTTAAAACCACATCAGCCTGCATTTTCAACGCCACTGTTCCTTCCTTTGATTCCCAATGCTGTGTTTCGTGTCAGAGAAACACATCTTGTTGTTGTTGAGTTTTTAGAGGATGTAAAAATCAGTGGGACTTCCAGGTAGGCTGAATCTTGTGAAGAGTCAGGGGAGTGTCCTCTATTTCTGAAACATCCACCGCAATTTCTGGTCCCTGTGGATGGATGAGATAAGTGTATCACACTAATCGAACCTTCTCTTGTAGGCATACTCATGTTCACTTAACAAAAATGGTATATTTTAACCATTTCTCTCGTCACTGATGCATGGATATTTTTTTTTCTCAGTCTGCATGAGTAAAAAAAAAAAAAGATGGGGAGCTAGCAGAATTTGGTGCATGGATATTTTTTTTCTCAGTCTGCATGAGTGCAAAAAAAAGATGGGGAGCTAGCAGAATTTGGGGCAACTTGCAAGAAGGAAAATAGGTTTTCTTTCTTTCCCAAGAACCGAAGGTACGTTCGCTCCGTGGTTTAGGTGTTCGATTCCCTCCCATGCCCCTTCTTGGCCGGGACTGGACCCCGTGATCCATCGGGTCCCGTCTGGCTCTGGAGTTCTGAGATTATGGATTATGTCAACCAGCCAACCACCCAGTGAGATTTGAGATAAAAGTATGATGCGGGCCTGTCCAAGCAGATATTTTAAACATGGAACACACAGACACCCTGCAGGTTTAAAAAAGTATTCTAGCCAGCGCACCACATATACATGGGCTCCATGCATGTGTTTGCAGGAGCAAGCGTGCAGGGGGTTTCATTGAAAGATGGTAATGATTCCCCCAGCCACTGAAATCTAATGCAGTGGGGGTCAGCGTGCTCTGGGATGACCCAGGAACCCTGAGAAATCCGTTTTTCCAACAACAAACCCTTGAAAACACAAGCACCCTCCTCTTCCTCCTGAAAACGTTCCCTCTCCTTGCTCCGCTGAAGTAGGGGGTTTGCTCCTCAGCGAAACCGCTCCTGCCATATGGCTCGGGACACCATTTCCTGCTGATGCTAGAAATCCGTGGGGTTGGTTTTGCAGCAGTGGGGTATCGGATGGCTGCTGTTGCTGGTGTTCCAGATGCCTTGCCCATCTAAGGCAGTTTCTAAAAACTGCTCTTCAGCTGTACTCCCTTGCAAAGGAGACGGGGGATGAGCTAATGGCAACATTT